AGAATTTGAGTTAAATGTCATTATCATCGACAACATTATTATGAGTTGCAGTATTATGAATACCATCTTTTTTCTTTTTCTCTTTTCTTGCTGATTCACCAACGAAAGACGATAGAATCGTTATACTGTATATTGTTGTAAATCTATTGCACCAAGTTGAAATAAATGGTATACATTTTTGAGCTGTTTTGTTTTTTTTCTCTTGAACGTTCATTGCCAAGGGAGAATGGCATGGCTTTATGACGATAATTGCCACTTCGTATCTGTGATGCTCGCATCATTATGATTGATTCTTCATCTTTCAAAAAATGAATAAACGACCATAACTATGGGTGCATATCAAAGCGATGTTGGAGACGGTTGCTATACCCTAAAATGATAATTAATACAATACATATAATATTTCGATTATAACTGTACTCTCAAAGCATACTCTACCTTCTACACTATTATTGCATTGTTGATGCATTGGTTCTAAATTCCAGTATTTTACCGGTATACGCGTTACCCATTGCTTTTCGAAATATTAAAAAAATTCAATTAAGAATTTATCAGATGATGGTACATTTTCAATCAATAGCTCAATAGCAGCATCAACCACATGCTTCTTTATTAATGATAGTGCCATGAAACTCTTCAATCAAATTGTAACTTCGTCATTTTTTTCATACATTCTTGCCAATCCAATCTTTTGAAGATTTCTAAGTATAGATTTAGTAAAATGATACCAACATCCATGAATAGTAATATCAGAAAACTAAAAAAAACGATTTTAGTAACTTTTTTATAGGTCAATACGTGGATGAGCACAACTTTTCTTGTTTAAACAAATAACTTACTATTTTTTCCAATGCATTCATCATACCAATTTCAAAATCCAAATAAGCATATTGTGGTTCTAATTTAAGACCATAATCAATTGATTTTTTTTAAACTTTGGAAATCTTTTCATACACATCTTGAGTTGTTTTTGACGTAAGACACTATACCAATAGAATTGCTAAATAAAAAAAACTCATTCCAGTGCAAGTAAAGTTGGCCTGAAGAAAAAACGTCTATATACCTTCATCAAGATGCTTGCCCATTATGACATATACTTGAGAAAACATAATAGGCCGTGTCTTAAACGTTCCATCAATTAATATAACTTCACAACTACATAACATCTTTATCAATACTTGGGTGAAAAAAATCATTAATCTTCCACCTAGTTTTTTTTAATGTTGAATCATAAATTAAAAAGTTTTCTCCGCTATACGTTGTTGAATACAAGTCTGGAACTTCAAAATCTAATGATTTTGGATTAGTTGGTAACATTTTTGCCCGAATTTTATGAAATTTTGAAGTTGAAAAAATACAAAAGAATCCGAATGTATATTTAACTTCCTAAAGACACATGACATTTCACATGGAAGTCAAGTGTATCTACGTTGCTTATCTCGTGCTGCTGGTAATAAAAAAATGCTGTTGATCACCATCGTTCAAATAATTTTTTACATATTCATCTTCTATAATACGAGTAACAGAGGTTGGTTCTACCATTTCTCTTTCTGTGATCTTTTGTAATACTAATAAATGTTTAAGATTATGGTGATTCGGTGGATGATTATATTCAACATTATTTGAATCAATAAATAGTTGAAAGACAGCACGACAACTAAGATCTTTTTCAAACAACGAAAATAATGATTGTTTTTTTTTCAATGATTGAGACATAAGATCATAGGTATATCCATACATAAACATACGATCGTTACCACGATTTGTCTTACATCAGTCAATTTCACCAACAATAATTGGCCATGATACTATTGTACCTAATTCTTTATCATCATCAAGATTACATGATTTATCATCTTGATTATTATTGATTTGATTAAATTTAGTTGATGGTAAATTAATACATTGATTAGCACCATTAATATCAATAGCATCATTAATACCAACAACATCGTTATTATTTTGATGAAATAATTTAACTATTGATAAGTATGTTGATACTGTTGTTGGTATATTAACTAAAGATGTATTTGAACTAGATGGGTTAAATGATAGCAATGTAAAGGTAACTGATGTTGATGGCACAGCTGTTGTTGATGTTATTGTATATGATTGCAATGTCGGCAAAGCAGTAGATGATGAAACATATTTACCAACTATTTCTTTCTTCTATTTATCATTCTTTTTGCTTACAGTACCAGGTATAACTATAGTATCTGTATTAAATGATTGCTGTTGACATGCTGTCGCAGCACGAATAATCGCTACCATTTTTTGATTAACAATGAATTAAACAAGTACAAATGACTTAATAAGTGAAGAATCTAGAAAAGAGTGTTTCTTTAAAAAGTGGATATGAGAAAAGATGAGTGATACGAGAAGCTTATATATAGACGTAGACAAGCGAACGGACCGTCAGTATTTTCTCTCGATATATACTTCGAGAACGAACATACTAAACGATAGATATTCATTCTG